TTTTTTTTTTTTTGTGTAAATGTAGATTCTTTTTCATTCTTCTTCTTGTTAAACATCTCATTATAATCTGTTTCGCTATATTCGAAGAATTGGATATATCTTCGTGAAGATTTGTATCTTTATTTACGTGCATACGTTCTTTTATGTTCCTAGATTTCAATCAGAGTGGTGCAATTGACAGAAAGGATCTTGATCTTGCTATACAAGTAAGCCATTTTTTTGTGTTTCAATTAATTTCATGATTTTCAACGATTGATTTGAAACGAGAAATCGATGAAAGGAAATTATGGAAAATATCATGTATCTACGAAGAAGTTTCCTAATTTTTTTCATAGCGAATCAATGAAAACAGAGGTTGGTCTGCTGACAATCCCAAGGCTCAAAGTATAAGGGATACTTTGCTTAAAATGTGGGATAACTTGAGGCAAGGAGCTGATACGGATCAAGATGGCCAGGTGAACAATCTCATTATATCAATTATATTTTAACAATTCGAATATGTATCGTTAAAAATTTTTAATATGAAACAAATTTTATCGATAAAAAGATACTCGTATTACGAAAAATCCTTAGAAATTACATCTCATTAGAATAGATAATAACGCTCTTTTTATATTTTTCAGGTGAGTCGAGAGGAATGGTTCCAACTGTGGGAAGAATATGCGAAAAATCCATCGAATCCATCCGAATGGCAAGAAGCATACATGTCTGTGACGTTCCAGTTGTTCGATGCATCCGGTAAGTTTATTATTACTCTCAAGAAAATATGAAAAAATAATTGAAATGCATTTTTGTCCAAATCTTTGGAAGATTCGTTAAATATTTATAAAAGAATTTGATAGCAACGTCAAACAGAAAGTTTCATTCAAATAATAAACAATGATCGATACAAAAATATTCGAAACTTCTTTACATCCTACTATATTCAATTTCAGAAACACGTTTGCTATTTTTGTGCACGCGATACGCGCACGCTTTTTATCGTTGATTTTTATTCAATCTTTTTTTTCCTTTTTTTTTTTTATAAAAGAAAAATAATCTTAATTGTATATCTTCTTTCAGTTTATACAATGTCACTGCTTCTTTTTACAAAAATATCATCAATAATAATTTCCAACTAACGATCCAAAAAATAAAATATATTTCGGAATAATTATTTCAATTTTATTTCAATCAATTATTTCAATCAAATTTATCCAGATCTCATGAATTTTTATATAAAATAAGAAAAATCATTTTTTTTTTGTAAATAATCCCTCGAATTGTTTACAACAATTGGTTCGAAAGATGTGTGTTTGTGTTTCTGTTTCTGTCAGGTGACAAATCGATCGACGAGAACGAATTTTGTAACGTGTGCAGATACCACGGAATCGCGGAGGCCGAGGCCAGAGAGGCCTTCAAAAAATTAGGAGTCGTAAGTGAAAATTCACCGATTCGAAACTCTACCTACGAAAACCGCTAATTCCATTGAATCGTTTCTCTTTGTGCAGGGACAGGAAATTACCTGGGATAAATTCACCAACCTCTGGAAGCAATATTTCTCCTCGGACGAGCCGAGCGCAGCCGGAAACTTTATTTTCGGAAAGACTTCCTTCTAACTCGCTTTAAACCCGCGGAAAAGTCAACCGACGTGCATAATATATATATATTATATTATACTTCCTTGAGTCGCGTTATATACTTTCGTCCATTCTGTTGATTTGGATCAAGCCAAGCTCTTTCTGTTCGACAACGAATAACAAACTATGAATATTTTATTTCT